CTGTCTCTGCTGGAGCTGCCTGTTGATTTGAGAAGCTCTCAGGCTCACTCCACTCCTTGCTGGGTAGATGCACTGTGTCCCCAGGGACTGAGGGTGTGGATGCGTGTGTGTGTGTCTGGGAGACACTAACTCACCTGCATGCACATTTCACCAGAAAGTTGCACAGCTAGCTGTGCACCCATGGCGGTGTGTGTGTGTGTGGGCAGGGGGGACAACCCAAGATGTTGGTGATAACAATTAGAGTCAAATAATAATAGTACTTGGGCTCTCAGGTTATGCAAAGACTTTACAAGCATGAACTGATTGATCCTCACCCATGGTGGAAAGGAGCTAGCATCACCCCAATTCCGCAGTGTGGAATCTGCTAAAGCACAGAAGAAATGATCTGGGGATCTGAGTTCTTGATTCTGTCATTGGTGCCTGGGCCAAGTCACCTCCCTTCTCAGTGCCTCAGTGGCACTCATCAGCATCACAGGAAGGTGGATTCGCTGCTGTTTGTAAAGTGCTGTGTAAAGTGTAAAGTCCTCTGGGAGAAGACACTAGAAATGGGCAGGGTATTATTATTATGAAGTGACTTGCCTGATGTCCTACACCAAATCAGTAGCTGGCCTGGAACTCAAACTCAGGAATTCCTGGCCCCCAGCACTATTCTCAGCCCACTACCCCAACCCTGGCTCTTTCTACTGCTCCAAGCATAGCCAGCTGTGGGAGAGAAGTGATTCTTCAAGTTCATGGCAATGAGGGGCTGGTGTGACTAGAGCTCCCATCCTGGCTCTTACTCAGAACAAGCAGAAGTGGCTAGTCCCTTGCATGATTTGCCTGAGATGAAGTGCAAGGCTCTCCATGCTCAAACTCTCTGGGCCCAATCCTCAACTAGTGTAAACTGGTATCACTCTGTGGAAGTCAGTGGGCTGATTTACACCAGCTGTGGAGCTGGACTGTGTCAGGTGCATGTCAGAGCAGGGAAGGAGTGGGGCACTTACACACAGAGGGCTAGAGACGTGTGGGCTTATCAAAGTGGGTGCAAACCATGTGGGCAAAGCACTGTATGAGTCCAACAACCTTCCTAGCGGGACCTTCCCAAAGGATACGTCGCACTGCCGAGTTCACTGGAGTAACCCTCTCCAGTTACCCTAGCTCGAGTACAAACTAACTCTCCACCCTGGCCCTGCACTCACACGTGTGGTGCTAAGAGTTTGGGGGCATGCCTCCTAGTCCTTTGCTCTGTGGAATCATGTCCATTCTGGGCACATGGAGGGAAGCTGTGGGAAGGCACTGTAGGGCATGCACTCCTCAAGGGGCACTAGCCTGCAGCCACATTGCACAGTGGTCGTGTTAGCTGCTGATGAGCTTTAGCTACAGCCCCTGATGGGCCAGCCATCACCACACTTGAGTGAAGGGGTTTAGTGTGTGGACAGGACTGGAGGTAGGGGGCAACACTTGAGTTATAACTCAAGTTGTAGTGAAGATAAGCCCAACACATCCAAATGTTTCTGTCTCTAGCGTCAGAGCCAAGTGGAGTAACCTGCAATTACATCATGTATATACAGGGAGTAGGGGAATCAGAGGCACAAACTGAAGAATAAATGGCTTGGTGCTCCTGCTTGAGAAAGACATGCCCAGCCCCACAAGCCAGTCCTGGGCCTAACAGAATGTTGCTGTTTTGCCTGACCTCCCAGCATACCCTGTTTGATTTTCCTTAGGGACTTTCCTATGCCCCTATAATGGCACTGCTGGCACTGCCCATCATCCTGCGGACATCGCTTTCAATGTGTCTGCAAGTCTCCTGCCTCCTTCTCCAGCCCTGACCCTTTCAATGGGTTTGCATCTTTGCTGTCCAGGGTTGGGCTCCAGTGGGGACAGCAGAGCTGGGCATGACAGGGCTGAAAACACCATGGACCCAGGGCAGCTGGGGACAATGTGAACATCATCCCAGAGAGCAGAATTCTCTCTCTCTCTCTCTCTCTCTCTCTTCCTGTTACCTTCCCTCCGTCTTTCCCTCTCTTTTACCTTCCCCCTGCCTTCCCTTCCATGCCTCAGCTGCTCCTGCTCTATTCAGCATCTGCCCTGAGCTCCCAGAAGGTGGATTTCCCTTTAGGTCAGGACCAGAAGAAAGGGTCCCTGATGTCACAGTCCTGGATGATGGCCTTAAGCAAATAGATACAGCAGACATGACACTGAATGTAAGCAGCCCTGGATCTATGGAAGTAGGATGGTTACAGAAAAGGCTGCTGCTTTACCAAATCACCTCTGTTCCCCCCACTACACCCCTCCATACACAGTGGCCCGTTCTTAGGTACACCAATTGCAACTACATGGGTTTGACTGGGCTCACCCAGATGTTACCAAGAGTGGAGTTATCCTACACTTAGCCTGCAATTATGCAACTAAAGCAATGTGCTCTCCAAGAGGGGGGAGGATGGGGGAGCTGGGTGGGAAGGCCAAGCCACTGGGACACCTTTTAAATTAAATTAAATTAAATTAAA